ATTCACCATTTCATTCATTGGCAGATGATATGAAATGGCTGTTCATATTCTTCATTGATTTGTTTTTATTATTTTTTAATTCATTTTCAACTAATCAAGATTGAATCATTTCATTTCAATTACAATGATTCGTTTTGGTGTGAAATTATATTTTCCACAAAGTGCATTTGATATTCCTTCATAATCAAATGAACTTTGAATACACTCTGAATGTGTTTTATCATTTTCTTTATGAACAACAATGTCTTTTAAATATTTTCCATCACCTCCAAATGCAAACAAACAATTATGTGATTTATTCAATAAACAAAATGCATGTTGTTGTTCTTTAATATCAAATTTCTTCATTCCTTTCATTCTTCCATTTGATTCTAATGAAAATACAAATGATTGTGAATCATATATAAAACAACCAACTTTATCAATTTTCTCATTAACATATCCTCCAAATTTATTTCCTTCTGAATCTTCAATAATAATGACTATATGTTCTTTATTCATTATTCTTTGATTAAATACTGATGTATTAACATTCCAATTATCAATATCTGAATCAAATAGTATATTTCCTACTTTTCTATTTGTCCACTCTTCTAGTTGTTCAATTTGATGTTTTGTTTCTTCTATTCCTTTTCTTAGTAATTTCTCTTCAATGTATCTTCTTATTCTTTCTTCTTCTTTTCTCTTCTTCCTTTCTAAATAATCAGTGTATTGCTTTTCCCATTCTTCTTTCTTTTTATTAAATTCTGCTGTGATTTTATCCGTTTCTTCTGGTTTTCTGAATATTTTGTCTTTCATTATCATTTCTTCCATATAAATGATTTTATCTATTAGGTCATTACGTGTTTTACTTAGTGTTTCTTCATCTGATTTACATTCTTCTATGATTCTTTCTATTTTGTTGATTGCTTCTTGACTTTTTTCTATCACTAGTTTTCTTCTTTTTTCTGTTTCATCAATCCTATCAAATATTCCTTCTCCTCTTTTAATAGCTTCTGAATATGTTTCATCATCTTTTATTTCAAATACTTCATTTTTAATACTTCCTATATAATATTGATAATTCTTAGTAGTATCATCAATTGATTGTCCAATGTGTGGAAGTGTTTCTACTACTTCTTTAATTAATTGGTTGTTTTTGTTTATTAACTCTTCCATTTGAATTTAATTTGATGTTTATAAGTTCAAAATATGGATGTTTAAATAGTTGATACACGTTATTAACACATCAAGTCAATCATTATTTTGAACATCATTCTATTTTAAATAAATGTTATTTTTATCATTTTTAGAATAACAATAAATATATAATAATATTAATAATATAATAATAATAAAATTATAATATTGTTATTTTCTATAATTAGTTTATTTTTTTTTTTGTGTTTTTTCATTTTTTTTTAAATAAACAAAAAATATTGAAGAGAAGAAGATTCAATTCTGTTTTATTTTTATTATTTCATCGTTTGTGATTTGAATTTTCACACAAAGCGATGAAGAAATTTGAATAATCCACTGTGAAATAAAAGAAATAATAAGTTACATATTGAAATGAATGAGAAAAAGTCAGGAATGGTATTAAAAAACAATAAGGAAATACCAAATGGAATGCAAAACATCCCATAGTTGAAGGTGAGGAATTGTATAAATACTTAGGAATATGGCAGTCCGACAAAATTGATGACACCTTCAATTGTAAATCCATCAAAGAAAAATGAATCAGAAAATGGTAGAAATAAACAGTGATGAAAGTAGTAATAGAAGGTATATTACTAGAATAAACACGGAAGTAATCCCTATCTTCAGATATTCAGCATCAGTTGTAAATTGGAAAATAACTGACCTAGACAAAATTGATTTGGAGATAAGAAAATACTTAAGAAAGGCAAAATACATTGGTGAAACTCCAAAGTTAGGTTATATGCCATTATATAAGAAATGGGTGAAGGATTAATAAATATAATGGACGAATATGTTATTGAATTAATTAGAACAGTGATGTACTACTGTACCAGAGAAAGTGAAATAGGAAATAACATATTAGATAGATGGTACAATAAGAAAGGAATATTGAATAGAATTAAAAAACATTAATTCATAAAATAAATGAAACAAAAATAGAAGAAATAATAAATGAAGGGATAGAAAAGAAAAAGAAGTAGTTGTAGAAATATGAAATTAAAGACAAATACATCAAAAAATGGAAGTGTCATCAAACAAATGACATTTTAGAAGATGGTTTGAGTCAAAATGAGTAGATAAAACTACTACAGTGAAAGCATGGAAGTCAATCAATATTAAAAAAATGCATTTCTACATTTAACTAAAATGCAAGATGGAGCAATATTTTGTGGGTATAGAAAATCAAAAATAATGAAAAATGAAAGATTAAAATACTAAACACTTTGTAAAGACGAGATTACAACAGTAGAACACATTCTGCTATCTTGTATTTATCATAAAAATCACAAATGGAAAACCATGACAATATTGGCATTATCATATTGATTAATAAGAAAATACACTGGAAATAATCAATATAAAAAACCTCCATATGAAACAATGTTCCAATATAAAGACATAACAATGATATTGAACAAACAAATAATGCCTAAAAGTGAATGACAATATCACAAAATACCAGACATATATGTGTTAGATAAAAAGAATAAAACTTGTCTATTATTTGATATGATTATTGTGGCTGATCACAATATTAATTGAGCCTATTGGAAGAAAAGAAATAAGTATAAGGAATTAAAGAATAGGCTAATGAAAATAGAAAAATTAAAAGATGTCAAAATAATTCCAGTAGTAATTTCAATCAATGGAATAATAAATAAAGAAAGTATCAAATTAATTAAAGAATTAAAAATTGACATTGACATCAAGAAAGAAATTAAAAACATTGTAATAAAGAACGTGGTTGATGTCATGGAATATTGCTTCAATCACAACCAAACATACTCCGTAGAAATTCTAGAAGAAGAACTCAGAGATTTGATTAGTCTCCCCCTGAGCCAGGAAGAATAGAAACTATTTCTATTAATACTTAATTAATTGCTTATTATTTTAAATAACTTATTAATTATATAAATACATAGGTTATTTTATTAATTATGAACCAATAAAATTATTAAATGTAATAGTTAGTGATAAATTATTATCTAACCATGTTAAATTGATTGTTTTAATAAAATCGAATAACATATAAAGCATTTAGACTTTACCTATTTTTGGTTTTAATTCAAAACCAAATTTTTTAATGTATAATTTGTTTTATAATAAGAGAAAAATATAGGATTTGCAGAAATGATAATACTACACTCATACCTCATTTGTTATATTTAATCATTTTGTTTCATTATAGTATTACGTAGTTAATTTAATCAATAGGTAATCAAAAATTTACTAAAGCTTATATTAGTTATTGGTATATTGGTGTTATACAATCATTATTGGACATTCTTTTTAAAAAGTTAATAAATAGCGTTGTTTTTTTATTACATTGTTTAATTGAAACGTCAATTTAGTAGTTTTTCAATACATCCTTTTCCTTCATTCCATCTTTCTTTTATTATTTAGAGCTTTTGTTTTTGTGGTTGAAATTGATTAATGAGACTAAGAGGACAATAGGATAGAATGAAAGAGAAACAAGAGAAGAAAAAAATTCATCATTATGTATGTTTTGAAAGATAATAAGATGTGATAGATTTGATAATAAAATTATTAGAATTATAGTTTCTAAAAAATGAAATTCATCTAAAATCTTTACAAAACTCATAATCATTAAGAAATGAACACTTTGATGAAACAAAAAATAGTATTTCTTGGAGATTCTTCTGTTGGAAAGACATGTATTATTGGAAGGTTTATGACTGGTGATTTCAATACTGGATATGAAGTTTGTAGTTATTTTTTTTTTCTACATATTCTTATTAACTTTTGTGCTTATCTCATAGGCAACAATTGGTACTGACTTTTCTACTAAAACTATGACATTTCAAAATAAATCCATTCAACTACAAATTTGGGATACTGCAGGACAAGAACGATATCGATCATTAATTCCAAGTTATATTAGAGATTCATCAGCAGCAGTGATAGTTTATGATATTAATGGTTTGGTATTTTTATTATATATTGTTTGTGTATTATGTTCATAAAGAAACCTATTTAAATAGAAAGGGAAGAATTTTGACGAATAAGTTACTTTTCCAAATGAATAAAAAGATTGACTTAATGTAGATAGACAAAGTTTTGAGAGTGTAGATAAATGGATTGAAGATGTACGTTCAAAAGAAAAAGGAGAAATTTTCTTATTTTTGGTTGGAAATAAATTAGACTTAGGACATCGAGAAGTTACACAAAAAGAGGCATTGGCAAAGGGACAAAACTATCAGTGTATGTGCTTTGAGACAAGTGCTAAAACTAATATTAATATTACTGAATTATTCAATGCAATCACAGAAAAATTAAGTACATTAGAGCCACCAGTTGAAGAACATATTGAGACTGTTTCACTTGGAAGTAAGAAAGCTGAGAATGAAAGCAACGGAGGATGTTGTTGAGTTTGTAATTTCAAAATAATACAATGACAAAATTTTAAGTTTTTCATTCGTTATAAATAACAATAAAAGAAAATAAAAAAAAAGAAAAAGAAAAACTAAAAAGTTTTAAGATTGTTGGGGAAGTTAAAGGTAATGTCAGAGACAAATCCCCAAGACAATGATGTTATGGTTCAAAACCAAATTATAAAAGAAGTCTACAATAAAACAGAACCATTTGCAAGATCATTTAATGATGAAAAGAAATGGAAAGATATTACTGTAGAATTTAAAAAGTATTATAATGAAGAAATAAAACAAGGAGAATTAAAGGAGA